GTCGCGGTGAAAAGTAGCCTATGTTTCTCGCTGATAATGTAGCTTTCCATTGGTTTTTTCTGAGAATTTAAAAAATCGCACTAAACCGATTTTTAAAATTCTCAGAAAAAACCGAACCGAACCGAAATTTAGGCGTACCAAACAAATAAACAACTTAACAAACTCACTTTCACATCCATACGATAGACCCCGCTATAGATAGGCCGCTTTGCCCCTTTTGCTTTGCTTTGAATTTTTGATATCTACTAATTCCTAAGATATTCATTTTAATGATATGCTGCAAACGACTTCATTTTATTCGATGTATAAATGTGAAAGTGAGTTTGTTTGTTGTTACGTTTTCACACCTTAACTTCTAAACCGAATTTAATATTTCTTTCATCGATGGAGAGCTACATTATCAGCGAGTAACATACTTAACCGCGATAACCGATATACACGCGGGTAGAGCAAAAGCTCATGGCGTCATCATCATCATCATCATGATGATGATGATGATGATGATGACGCGGGTAGAGCAAAAGCTAGATTAAAATATAAGTGTTGATGTTAGGGCAGAGAATACACATATGTGGAGGGTATTTGTTTAAATAAATAATATAAAGATACTCGTAGAAGTATAAAAGTTAAAAATAAACATAAATACTTCACTTGTATATGATTTTTTTATGTTCCCAAACCTGTTTTTACTTATAGGTCTTAAAAGCCATTAATTATAAGGTAAATTACATTTTAATGTTATTGAACTGGCATGTTTATAGATCAGGGAAAACACGATTGTAAATGTAATATTATGCCCTCAAATATAAATGCAAGTTAATTATTTATGTACCTACACCAGAAGTACACTCATATGTATAACTTTCAACGAAATAGTGGTTATAATAAACTCATACAACTCGGTGTTACATGAGTTATATAAGTAGATACTACGGAATTTTAGTAAAGTATTGCGATCTATGATGCTCCATTTCGTCGATAGCCAAAAGATTTGCGACCGGCTCGGTCCCTTGCAGTTACGTAGAGATGTAGCTTTGCTCTGCATTCTCTATGGTGTTATCATGGAGAGTGCTCCGAGGAGTTGTTCGGACTAATACCGGCCGCAACCTGCCGCTATCGCTCCACACGGCAAAATTTTCATCCCCACAACTTGGATAATTGGCGCTCCACCACTGTGCGCTTTTCAAGACACTTCTTGCCTAGCACTACCAACCTGTGGAACAAGTTATCGGCTGTGGTATTGCCGAACCGATACGACATTCAAAACTTCAAGAAAAGAGCGTACTCCTTTCTGAAAGGCTGGCAACGCGCTTGTGACTCATGAGGTGCAGGTGTTCATGGGCGGCGGTAGTCGCTTTCCATTAGGTGACCCGTCTGCCCCTTTGTCCCCTATTCCTTAAGAAAAAAAGGTGCAAACACTATGAAAATTAGTTATGTTATTCTCACACTTTAACTATGATTTTACACAACAAACGAGCATTGCGATGTGTCTAATAATACTTTGTAATTGTTTCATATTTTATTAACATTGGTTATATTTATAAATAAATTTTGAATAAAAATGATTTTAGTTATAGATTCATACCTAAAATTGCCTTTTTTATGTCCAAACCGGTAATCTACAATGGACATGAATAATACCGAATAGTAAAAAGCAAAACGCATAAACGACCCAATTTTCACTGAGACGATACAAGTGTTATTCAAACTTGCTCGTTGAGCAAAAGTAGGGAGATCAAGGACGGTGTCTGCCAAACATGGGGAGGGTTTCCCCGGGAGACGGGGCTCGGGTGCAGGGGGGGAGTAGGAGGTGATCTGGCCAGCGGGGAGGGGTATGTTTTGATGCTCGCCGCCCGCTTTATTGATTTTCCACGCCCGACCACCCGCCTCCCCTTTATTATATACATATTCTGAGCCAGGTGGTGGCTGGTGGTATAGCCGACAGTCGTGCTATTTTCGGTTAGCTCCGGCCGCCTCGCACCCGTGGAAATATTATGATTGATCGGCCGCTAGCAGTAAAGGCAATCTCATTTTGGTTTGCAATTTTATCACCTAGATAACTCTTTGATTTGTTGATTCTCTAGTTCTAATTTAAAGCTCATATGTTGATTGTTTTGCATGATTTATTCTACTTGGAACTTGGCTTATATAGCTGATCTTTTGACTAAAATACGAATTCCGTTCCAAGTAGAATAAATCACATTTATTTGTGTTTGTAATGGTATAGTGTATAATAAATAATAACTGCCAATGTTTTAAAGTCAAGATGTTATTGCGTTCAAGGTTTTCTGAAAAGTAATTTATTTGTGTATAGCACAACATACAAACGCTTCAGTGCTTTTAAACAAAATATTATTACGAAAAGGGATGTTTATTAATGTTAAATTTCTTTTCATCGCCAACGAACCGTCTTTTTCGGTTTTTATTTTCATGCCTTTGACGTTTTACTTAATACAGAATTTTATTTAATTGAGAAAAAGTCTCTTGGCATATTTTACGATCTTTCTTTTTTAATTACGTAAAATAATTCTTTTTAGGGAGGGTATGATAACAAAAAATAATAGATACCAATTTATGAGGCGTTTTTATTAACGATTAAGTTTTCTATTGTTTCCGTTTAAGTAAGATATAACAAGGAAATGTAAACTAGACTAGATGTAATCTGTAGTATTCGAGATAAAGACGTTTGTTCGGTTAGTGGCACGAGTTGAGATCAACTGGTGCTATGTAACTTCCTATTGTTGTAACGATGAATGATGTTTGATATTAATACGAGTAGTATATAGTCGTCTATCGACATTATAAGCTACACTGGAATGACCCAGTACAAATCAACAATTAAAGTAATGAAGTAAAATATCTTATAATATTTTTTTATTATCCCACGATATAAAAAACAAAGCAATATTAAGTTTTAATTACCACAGGGAGAGCTAAATAAAATATGTATAATTTGATTGCGCAACTGTATAATTTGGCAATTTAGTCGTCATACCGTAAAAAAATGTATAATTAAATCATGAAAACTTGACGTAAAGTATTTATAATTAAAAAAACTCAATTAGCTAACCGGCAATGAAAGTTTATCACGAGTTTCTTAACTTCGCCGTATTCAGCATGTACGCAACTCAACTCAGAAACTGTTCTCCGCAAAATTTAAACGAGCAAAGTTTGTTTCACTTAGCTTACTCAACTGTCCGGTCCCACCCACCCCGCGTAGGGGCTAAACGATTGGAAAGGGGTTGTAGGCGTGTGTTAGACACCAGACAATGTTTCTTTGATGGTACTCGTATTTTATGAAGGACATCAATAGCTAAGGAACGCTGAGTGACGGATCTTTGTAACTAAAGGTTGTTATTTATACGCGTTGATTATAGGGCAAGTTTTATGCATAAAACATACTCTACGCATCAACTCCTGCGTGATGTAGGTAGGTAGCTGTGATGGACTCGCAAGTTTCCAATAACTCCTGATGTTGTGAGCGTTCATAGATTACATTAGCAATTGCAGTCTCAAGTTCCCGGTGGATTGTAAAAAAATTAAAAAGTATTAATTACATTCAGAGACGAACATGCATTTTTTGTGTTTTAAAACAGATAAATAGAAGGTAACCCTTTAACATGTCATGCTTTTACTTTCTAGTAGTAGCATGCAATCCTTAGACAACTATCCACCATTTGTGTAGGGCTTTAGAGTTTCGTCTTTAATTTGCACTCATATAACATTAATTTATTATAACTTTCTAGGTATTTACTTCTTGGAATATAAAAAGAATGATGAAATATTTTTATTTGCTTCTTAAAATAACTTATGACTTCGAATACAATAACTTTAAATTGTAAGTAGCAATTGTTCACCAAAGTTAAACTTAGAACAATAAACAATTTTGTTTACTTTGTTCGTCCTCATCGTTTGAACTCATATTGTGCTATTAAATTATTATGTATTCTCTGTAAACCACCTATTTTATCATTTCTTCAAGAATGTGTAGGTGAAGATTTGCAGACAAACATCTCGATACAAACTCGTATACATATAGGAGACTGACCACTGATAAATTATTTGAGTACACTGGTGCTATCGTTATAGTTACATCCTTGATATTGATTCTTTTGTCTCTATTTATTATCAGCTCAATCTTTTAGAAATACGAGTTTTTCGAGATTCGGATATGTTCTGTGTTTGTCATCTGTGTGAAAAGTAATAATACAAAGTCGGTATATACCCCAAGTGACATCGTAACTGCCTGCTCTGCATGTACCCTTGTTTGACACAGTAGTCGCAGTCTGATAATTTTCCAGGTTTCAACTTCATCGTATTTGTATAGATCATAGAAACGGACGCTGCTAGTACTAAATATCTGCAAAAGCAACTGCAGATGCTCGATTTATGTTAGTGGTATGTGTTTACGTTTACCTCGCCAGAGGGAGTGTAGCAGTGTGATAATTGGCAGCTTTGTCTAGGGAACTCAACCTTTCCTTAAAAACCGATCCGAGTCATCATCATCAATCATCAACAGCCTATACTAGTCCACTGCTGGACATAAGCCTCTCCTTAAAAAGGAGGTTTTGGCCTACTATACCGCGCTGGCCAGACGGGTTGGTATAGGGTTTGTTTTAAGTTTTCCATATCTTTTTGCAGTACTGTTGTCCTGCGTAGTTTTCTCCCTTAGTCGGGTCTTACAACACCCACGGGATAAATACCTAAGGGTGGTGACACTTCGTATTCTTAATCCGTCACCACACGGAAATCTGTTTGTTTCCTCCATTCTTTTGCCAGTTGACTCATCAAGTTCCGCACAGCGTTAGAGTTTAGTTTTACGTGCTAGTTGCAGATGCCGTCTGCGTTCACTGAACTCGGCTCTACTGCTCTAGCATGACGCATGCGAGACGCAAATACAATACGTCTGCGCTGCTCTGAGCCTCGGTTTACAGCGGCGCAAATGTCTGCGCAACTTGTTCCAGCTGCGACGTGTTGGTATCTATGGTATAGTGCGGAAAATGAACAACATTATTGACTTAGTGCGGAATGAACCTTGTTTGTATGATTGGGATCATCCAGACTATTGTAATAGAGCTCTAAAAGAATCATTGTGGGAGAAAATTGCTAAGCAATCAAAGTACAAGGACGGTGAGTAATATTTTTTTTAAAGCATAACGTAAAAAACGTGTCAATTTTTACAGTATATATTGGAACTTAGTGCAGTGTCGCGTAAAATCCTAATTAGAAATAGGTAAATTAAATTGTTTATAAAACAATTAGGTACTTTTTTCGTACACAATTTAACCAAAAGTTTTAGTAATTACTTTTTTCAATTTTATGTTTAATATAAATTCCAAAGGAATCATACAATCTATATTACTAAAGTATTATTTTTTCTATGGATCAATACTACAATAAATCAACCATAGAAAACGTGATTTTATAGTAACAAACTAGTTTTTTTTATCTATATATAATTATATATAGTACTTACATAAAACAAAAAAATTAAGTATGCTATTAAACCCCGTAAATATGAAGATGAAGCAAACATGACTAAATGAAGTAGACGAAGACTTAGGAAGCTCAAAAAATCTCTTGCTTTTCAGGGGTCAATCTTAAAATATCACTGAAAAGCGTCTTATTTACAGGGCCTGCTGCGAAAGATGCATGGTTAAAGCTCCGTAATTGTCACCGGGACGCAATAAGGAGAATAAGCAAAGTAAGTAGAAGTTATCCTGGATTTATTCCAAAACGGTGGAAATATGAAAAACAAATGGAGTTTTTGTTACCCCATATGACTAGCCGATCCACAAACGCGTACACGTCCGAAAATTCAAATCAGATGACTTCAAATCAGTCGGAAGATGCGACTAACCATCCTGATAGTGAGTTTGAAGCAGAATTCGAACAAAGTGAGACTGGAACGTTAGAAACAGAAGAATCTTACCAAAACTCAAAAACGAGTCCTAGTATAGCGCTTGAAGTAACATCACCGCCATTGCTACTTCCTTGCGGCTCTCAACTACATATTCCTCAACCACAATCGCCTCAAGAGCTGGCAATAACAAAACACGACTCAAGGACATCCGTCGCTAAAAGGGTTAACAGTCATGAAATGAGATCAAATAAGAAATCTTATAATAATGATCAGGATGACGAAATGCGACATTTTTTTAATACTATGTACGTAATGACTAAAAACATGCCAGCATTGAGTCGTCATAAACTTAAAAGGGGAATATTTAATCTAGTATCTGACGAGGAAGAATATTTACTCCATTCAGGACTTATTTCTTCAGATACTCATTCAGTTTATGGTAACAATGAAAGTGCTACGATTACCGATCCGATTGCATTACCGCCTCATTCGTCTACTTCTGCAAGTCCCATTGAATGTAAAAGTGAAAGTTAATTGCCATTTATTAGCATCTAAGTACCTGTTATGGCTTAATGAGCAGTTTGATATATTGAATATAATAAATGATATGTTTCACATAGACCGAGTTTATCTTTAGTCCCAACAGAATGTAAACTTTACCTTTCTTAAAAATCAAATAACAATAACAAATTTAATTTTCAAAAATTATGAGCAAACAAAATACATTGTTTTTATTTTCATATGTATAATTTTCTGTGAAATAATGTAATATTATAACATATTGTACTAATGTATACGATTGAGAACAACTTGATAACATGTAAAAGTGACTAAGTGTTCGGCAGTCATTATATTATAACACCATGACCAATTTACCTAGAGTACATTTCAAGTATTCTACATAGTTGTTGTAAACCGACCCTAGAATAATTCATATTTTCTATATCAAATTACGTTCATCATGCAAAAACATCATGGTAATAGTAAGTTGTTATCGGTGCCTAAAAACCATTGCTGATGAACACGGTACGAAGCATTCTTATGAGTTCTTTTCTCAGGAGCTTTGGGTGAAGACAGATGTTCTGTGTGTCTGTTCCAAAATTTAAATACCATAATGCGGGGCCTGTTGCATGTATGTACAAGGTTGTAGATAAACTGCCAATAGCATTTGAATTACGCAAAGGTGGTCTTCATATGAAGCGAAGCTGCAGGAAGCTACTTTCAATACATTGTATCGGAGTATCCACTTACGACGTGGATGGTATCGCTGAACTAAATTATAGGCTGTTAGAATTACCTCGGCCTATTACAAACCTTATTTGTTGCCTAGATGTTGTGAGATAATGCAGGAACAATGATCATGGTATTTGTTACTTGGATAATTTTGAAACTTAAAATGTCGGCATGCTTAAGAACGGCTCGCTTTGGATATTTCAGTGTTTATTATTTTAAGAGTATGTCTTTTATGTAGCTTTTACTTTACAGATTGTAGCATCGTTCGTCATTGAAAAAGTTAAACTCTTTTACAGAAGGTACAATTTTATTCAATATTTCTACATTATTTGCTTTCTTGTAATATTTCTTAAGCGGAGCATCTAAATAGTACAATTCGACTGTTGAGTTTTTAAATTTAATTGTGCGTCACCGTCTATATGTAAGTTTCTTTTGCTATGAACTCACACCTAAATGAGTGGGTACTGGCCACAATTACTTGATTGGTATGTTGTAAATGATATCTAATATCTTGGGTCACATTTACTAGCATTTACACTGACGGAGTGCAAACTAATGATTACGTAAAATTTAGTTTGCAACTGAGGGGACAACAACTTGAGGGGAATTCAGACATATAGAAATATGAATTCAGACATACAGAACTAAATACGAGCCGTGGCTGAATGGCTTCCTGGTTCATAATTGTAACTGTGATACTTAAATAAGAGGGATTAATCAAAAAACTTATGTAGTTAAGTTTAGACGTAAAGAAAGAGGTTTTAACCCTTGAAAATAGATTTCTTTTGATTTCTATTGTTCCAGCTTAATTAAGTTTAACCAGGGTTTGATTACACATACAAGAAGAGCAAGAATGACCGTCATTCTTAGTCGTTCGATTCTATGCATTTTACGATCTCTTTTATAGTGAACTAAAGTTCTGGTAGAAAACTTGTTTTAAATATTGGCAGTACGCAGTCAAGAAAATGGCTTTTGTTTAACGTTTCTCCTTACAACTTACTTATTTGTTTTTGATCTTAAAATGTGTATGCGCTATAAGTAAAGAGACTCTTGCTGTTTCTAAATATTTTTACAAAATTTCTAGTCATTTACGACGATTTTAAATATGACCATCAAACCTTAAATCCAAGTATTAATATTCATTACTTTGTTTCCTGATAGAACGAACATAATCTGTTTCCTGATCCCCAGGCCACAGCTCGGTATTAATCACGACGTAATCTCACCAAATAGAGCGCCGAGCAAAATAAACAGAAATGGATGTAGGCGTTGTTGTGTAACCGCTGAGTCACAGGCTCAGCGACGCTCATCAATGCGTGACTAGGCAAATATTTACCAGTTACGTTCACTACGTGGCCAAATTCAACATTATTATTATAACTAAAATTGATTTGGGCGTGAAATAACTTAATCGTTCTTAATCGGTCATTCGCGGTCTCATTCGATTTGGGTGGGAAATGAATACGTCATTAGTATAAATATAAAGTATTAGTATTATATTAAATATTTTGACTGTACCTGTTAAAATAACTCAATGCCTAAAAATAATGCCGCAATTGCTAACTGCATGCAGAGTCAAGGTTAAGTTCCGCTTTTGGCGACATCGAAGGAACACGACAGCAAAAAGGTCTCACTAAGTGTAGAAAAATGTATCTTCATGCAAGTTATACCAATTTCTTTTGTTTTGAAAATATTTTAAAATACCAAACACTAAAAATGTACCTAACACCATATTAGGATTATTATTTATTGTATCCTTTACTTTTAGAACTGCACAACTGTAGATCTAGTCTTAGTGTTTCTTGTTAAGCTGCCGTTCATTAAGCTGCCCCATATACTCGTAAATACTTTCAAGTAAGCTGTCTACACAAATGCCGGTGACCCTGAATGGTCCAATAGCGTTAGTTAGCAAACAGGCGGATACAGTAGATCTACAAGTACATATAACAGCCGTTTGTGGGGAGGCCTGGCGGGAGGTGTGGGGGGAGGGGCGGGTTCAACGCACCGGATACGTGTGTCGCCGGGCAAAGGCTTGTATGCAATACACTAAAACAGGTGTGAGTTTTCCATCAATGTGTGTGTAGTAACATTGACATAAATACTAGTGCAAACGTGTACACATTTAACTCCACTGTCCACATATGGATGGATAGGTATGTGTGTGAACGGTGAATTATTACTGCACTTAGCACGATATACGCGGGCAAGTATACTACTGTTGATTTGTGGAGGTGTACCTCAATGTGGGGCACAATGTTTACGTGTGATACGAGGTCGTGACACTATCTATCAATGCACTGTATTTATTAATATTTAATACAGATTGCGATCTATGTTAAAACCGTTTCTCACGGTGCTTATTAAACGAGTTTGCAAACACACAAGTATTATCTTGTATTAGGGTTGTGTATGAATTTTGTAAATGCGGTAAGATCCAAAAACGAATACAGATTATTAGACACAGATTATTAGAATACAGATTATTAGAAAGCAAACACGAATACGGACCTCCTGTGTTTTTTTTACTTTTATGGCGACGAGCGTGACTCTGGAACGGATTTTTTTTTCTTAGAGCTATAGTTTTTTCGTATTATTAACTAACCAATGTCTCAGGACAAACAATGAATCCTGCTTTAATAAAGACTCAATTGGATGTCTTGTTTAGCGGTTGTAACAAAGGATTTCCACGAATTGGATACGTGACACAGGTCTGCTTATTAACAATGTATAAATCTTATCTGTTTTCACAGAAAAGGTTTTTATTGCTCAGTACCTTCCGATACTTGTAGCCCATACAATTTCGCTTAGTACTACAGTAGTAGAGGTTTGGGTAAAATCGTCTAGAAACTACTGTTTTCAGCTTTTATCAGGCAAAACATTCGACTAATGGCAAGGAGTAGTTTAAAGCTGAAAATAAAATAAATTAAGATTCAATAAGATCATTTTCGATGAAGGACTTTTATCACTTTAACATATAATATTATTAAGTATACCTATTGTAAAATACCTAATTTGTACCAATAATACTAGCAATTGTTTTTTTACAGGAATGGGACGCTCGTCTCGCGGGTTCAGAAGCTGGGTTGGACAGCGCAATCATTTCTTCTTTATCCTCTGAGGCAGCAGAATGGCGGACAATACAAGATGGCCAGCGTATTCTGACAACGACACCGTCCGTACTCGGTGGGTGTCGAGCTCAGGTGTACAGAGTTCTAGGCGCCACACAGTGGTATACCGCCGTCATTGTTGGAGTCAATGAACATACTGGAGTGAGTTTTAATTTATATAATTACATATGTTAGCAAAGAAGCACACCAGTTCCGTGCTAATCTTAATCCCTCTGTGGTTGATTAAAAAACGCAGTTGTTGATGCGGTTTACCAGCGGCTTCTTTATATTTTTACCCCATGAGCCCAAATACAATTCGATGGCGAACTACGTACCTCCTTTAAGGTAGTTCAGACAATTCGTTCTCTTACATAAAAATAAATTAAAAGTAAATTGATTGCCAGGCAGGAAGTAGCTACTATATTTTGCAAGGTTAAGCAAAATAATATATATTGTTTCGTTTTTAGTACCTAATAACGTTTTTTATGAATCAAAATTTAATAATGATCTATTGTATTCGTGACCTGCCTATCACTATAGCTTACACCATAGTAATAAACATACCTAACGGGTTTATTCGCTTTACGACTGATTTACAGCTGGCCTAGAAGCTTATGTAACTCATCTCATTTAAAACAGGAAAACATATAAAATGGTATATTTAGAGAACGTATACTAGCTTTAACGGTAATAGCGGTTTGAAGATCCTTATGAACAGATTTAGTATTATACCTAGAACTACTCCAACTATAAATATGGCGAGTTTAACGATAATATCCCACATATGTTAATGTAGTCTTTAGATAAATGTCTTAGGCGTTTTAATTTGAAATTAGCCTCAGTTACTAAATAATGTTTCGCAATTTACGTACCATATGGTATTACTTATTAGGAATAGAAAGTATTCGCTATTATTATCCAAAAAAGAACTTCTCAATAAATTAACACTTCAACATGGTAGGAGTTTATCATCTTTACTCAAATTATGTACGAGTAGGTGGTTCTGTTCATAATAAAAAATCTTAAAATGTATTACTCAAAATATTTCTGTTTTCGATACAAGTTTTTTCAAACGAAACGTAAACCATTTTCGATTGGTTTCAATAAGATATGTAGGTCACGTACAATATCAACTCGCATTTACAATAAGTTATGTTAACTGGCTGTCAAACACATTTACCTGCCTTGTGTAAAATTCAGATAAAATTTATCTCCTATACTCTTATTACCATAAAATACAAGCAAGTAATAATAACAGTTCCTTTCCTATCAGATAAAATTAGTTTGTATTGTATAACGGTGTGTTAATTAAACAGACCGGTTTAGATAACCCTTTTGTAATAATTATTGTAGCTCGTTGCTATAATAGACAATGGCTGAAGAATTCTTGTAATATCCTAAAATAAATAAACGCTGGTTAGCGAGTAACTGTACAATAAGTCTACAAGATAATTCGAAGCGGGAAGCTCTGGATAGAACCAGTTCTGGTTTATTGAACGCGTTGGCATCCGACAACGAGGCACGATTTATAAGGGCACTTGTAAGTAACCGAACAACCTGCATACGGTGTTCGTTACTCGATTAATACATGAGAACCTGTTATCTTTAATGTGTATGGAATCCAGAACTTTCTACATATTTCCAATTACAAGGAGTTACTAAAACAACAGTCGCAACTTACGTTGACAGCGGCGATATGAATTTGTTGGTGACGATTTAATTAAATATTGTGATTTAGAAACTTTTTGGGTTAAAAAAATATACTCTTACGGAATGATACTAAACTGTTAAAGAGTCTTACCGACTTTAATACGCCCACAGAACCGTTAAAGGAGGAGGTACCTCTACTCTGTGAAGCCGCCTACATTATGATGAATGCTGTATTATTTGAATGGATCCAAAGGGGAAGTATACCTTCAGAAATAGAAAACGAATTGAGTCTGTTAAAAAAGGATAGATTCATTGTTATATTTTTATTGAATAAAAATATACAAAAAGAATTATTAGTTAGTCGTAAAAGATCATGAACTCAGAAAGTGTACGTATTATGCTGGTACCTTGTACACATTAATAAAGTTATTATTAAAATGAAAACAAAATATAATATTTTTCTATTTCATTTTTCAATAACTACTAATATTTATGATATTGGATTGGTTTTGTAAAACAAAATTTCTCAATTATGTTATCATAAAGATATGTTAAAGGGCCTTCGATTGAGTAGACAATTAAACATTTATGAGGACCTCAAAATAAACCTGGATAATTATCAGTTAGTTAAAAGTTCAAATATAGACGCTTGTGGTAAAAGCTGCCTGTAAGATTTGTTATTGAGATAGTGGGTGCTTTCACAAACGCTGGTTTCCGCCACCGTTTTCTAACAGAGTTTTTAATCTTATATGGTAAATTTTTGTTTCACAATGAAACGGGTTTCTGATAGATTAGCAATTTTGTATCGTCAATAATACTACATTTATAATTAATTCGATAAATCGTCCGTGAGATGTTACATAACATATAAAGAGTTGAGTAAAATAGTCAGAGATCTTGCTTGCTCGCCTTAGGCCGTGCCTTAGGACAGGTCGTGTGCTTAGGGTGCTCTTTGAAATATGCAGATATGCAACTTCGTAATTTAAAAAAAAAATGCTAAGTATGAGGCAAGAGGATCACAAGTTAATTTGTACTAAAATACAATAGGTTATCATATATATATATGTATTATTACATAATACACAATGTATTGTATACTGTAGTCTACATACATAGATGCGGTACAAGGTGGTACGGGGTTCTCCATTAAGTATGAATTATACCTACGAAGATAACTATGTATTTTTTAACATTAGTAATTACTATATCATTTTGATTTCATTTTCAAAAATGATTGCCTCCCAAGTCGAAACAAGATTCTATACTAAACTGGTTTACTTGGGCCCTACGAGATCTTTACTTAATATCATAATATGTAATCTCACTTAGGCTGCGAATGAATGAAGAATGAACTCTTATCAATTATTCTGTACATATTATTATTAGTCCTCATCTGTACTCGTATAGTATGAGACTTCAATCCATGCTAAAAACCACTTAGGTACTTGGGTTTCTTATTGGGTGATATTTGGTGCGTTTGGAACTATATGATAGATGTACATGGTACAGTATATTATACATATACAGTATATATACATATGTCCATTTACGAATGTGTATAATGTGCAATCAAAGGATCAATATTTCAATTTCGCCATTTCCTCTTGTTTTTTTACTTCATGACAGATATCGGGACAGAATTCTTTACCGTTAAATTAGTTTATTAAATTTGACTTTTCTCCGAAAAATATTGTTGTTGGATTGTATTCAGCAATGCATCCTTCAAACTAGGCTTACATCTTTAGCTATGGGTCTAAATCTATAGGTCTCAATATGAGAAGAACTTTTGCTTGTTTTGTCTCGATGCTTATTAATATTGAACAACACGCCTTTAATTATTTCGTATCGCTTTCCGTTCGTTGCTGAGCTATTAATCTCAATCCCTGTGTAATCAGCTTATACACACAGAATCCATCTTATATTCAGTTTAGTTATTTATAATGTTTAACAAGACGATATATACAACGCGTCATGAGTGGGGTAACTCGTGTTTGCCCTCCGTTTCACCCCCTACCACCTCTATCACCCCTTTTGCTAACTTCTATAAACAAACTTTGTTGTTTTGCGTTATTGAAACACTTCATTGTTTTTCTTTCATCTCTCTCTCCTTTGAGGGCATGAAATGTCGAAGTTCCTTATGTTGTACGTAACCAAACGGTACATTTTATGTTGGCATTGCTTGTTAAGTAATCGAATATTGTTTTAGTCTATTTAATGTTGGAGTGAAAGTTATTTACGTTTCAAATTAAACAAAATCATGATAATGTTATGAGAACGTATTTTTTAGCATAATGACTTTAAACATGACATAAATGTCGTAGAAAAGTAATACAATAATAGTATTTTCGAACATCTAACACACAGCGCCATCTAGTTTCAAACTAAGCAGAGTTTGTACTATGAAAGCAAAATTGACTGTTAGAATACCTATTTATTTATCTCTATTGTACATCATTGCAGTATTATTTGTACAGATATTATATAAATTTAGATATAACAATAGGCGGTCTTATCGCTCACGGCGATACTCATATACTTTTTTTTGTAATATAAATAGTATAACTATATATATACATAGAAAACACCCAAACTCCGAAACAAATATTTGCAGATCACACAAACATTTGGTCTGACCCTCGAATTGAACCCCAGACATCAACACAGCAGTTGCATACGCTACCACTGCGCCACCGAGGCAGTGAAAAGTGGTTGAAGAGTCTTTGTAAGTCGGAAGGAAGGCCGTGGCAATACCAATTATAATATTAATTAATCAATTAATAATAATAAGAACAGAATTCATACAAATAATAGCGGATACATGAATAATGCATGGCAAACAACGGTTGTACATGCGGTTGTACTAGAATAAAAATAATAATAAATAATAAATTTATTTCTCTCAAAAGCTACAGTAGGTTAGAGAGTATCGTAATCACATGTATTAAAATAAAATAATTTAAAGTTTCTTAGTGAGAGCTGGAGTCTACTAGGCTCGAAATCTGTATGGTAAATCTCCAGGTCCACCCTACGGCCGACAAATGTCAAATAGGTACATATCACATAATAAGGGCGCTAGGCTATATATCATGGGTTTTAAGGCTTGAATTCCATCAAATACATATCTAAACACATATTGTTCTATATTTGAATGTGTTTAAATTTTGAATCTCAAAACAGTTGAAAGTATTAGGATTAATGCTATTGTTTAGTCACAGCGTCGATTGGAATCTGTCAGCTTACGTACGAAAATGAATCTTTCTAAGGGAAATGTTCGTGCAATAATTTTCTACAACTTTAGAAGAGGCCTGACACGGCTTCCGTGTTTTGAAGAGATAACATCTGTGTTCAGTGATGAAGCCCCATGTCTGCAGACTGTCGAACGCTGGTATTTAGAATTCCAGCGTGAACATACTAGTGTTAGTGACAAATCTCGCGAAGGACGCCCAAAATCCGCCTTCACTGAAGATAACATCATTGCTGTGAGACAACTAATTCTCGAAGATCGTCATGTGACGTATCGAGAGACTCTATCTCTCGATAAGTCACTCGTCGCTCTATTAGGCATCTCAGGGACAACCATCCAGAAGATAAAGCGCTTGGTGTGAGAAAGTTAGTTTACCGTTGAATACCGCATCTGCTTTCCGACGATCACAAGGCGGCCCGCGTCAGATTGTGTAAGAAAATTCTGCAAAGGTTCAACTAAGGAGTGTCAAACCACGTCTACGGCATCATCAGTGGTGACGAATCTTGGATCTATACCTACGATCCTGATTCCAAACAACAGTCTACAATCTAGGTCTTTCAAGACGAGCCAAAGCCGACTAAAGTTGTTCGTTCTCGAAGCACTTCAAAGAAGATGGTGGCCACGTTCGTTGGAAAAACCGGCCATGTTGCGACTATTGCACTTGAAGATCGTAGAACGGTTAACACAGAGTGGTATACCACAGTTTGTTTACCACAAGTCATTGCCAAACTTCGAAAATCTAACTCAAAGCGACGCATCGTCCTGCACCATGACAACGCAAGCTCACACAGCACTCACACAGAACCTTCAAGACTATGCTACATAAACATTATCTGTCTCTAATAGTTGACAATTAGCGTATCTATATATTAACGTATGTATGTATAAATATAGATTACTAGGATTTATGTATAAAAAATATTTCATAGGTTAAGACCTTATTTCATCATCATCATCAACAGCCTATACTAGTCCACTGCTGGACATAGGCCTCTCCTTAGAAAGGAGGTTTTGGCCTACTATACCACGCTGGCCAGACGGGTTGGTATAGGGTTTGTTTCAAGTTTTCCTTCTCTTTTTTACTTCTCTAATTTATGTATACCTATCACCAGTTCAAAATGAATGCATCCAAAGGTTGCCTAGAAGAAATTGCACTAAGCGATAAGGCCGCCCTTTGTACATTACATCTGTTTTAAATTACTTTATAAAGTCTGTAAAACCAAAAAAAAAAAAAAAAAGTATTTATCTATCTATCTATCTATGTTTACTTGAAAAGATTAAGATTAAACAAAATATCTCTTAAAAATCTTATGTAGATAAAAAGTCTATATCTGTTTATGTTGTTTACTGTTATTTCGATAAACCATAAATAAAGGTAAATTATTTAACGATAGGTCTAACGGCGCACTATACATTAGTACTAGCTTTACAAATGTTATTAAGGAGAAAATGTTTAATGTCATATTACCTCAATCACTTAGACTTAGATGATTTCTGCTTAGATATCTTTAAAAAATAATAGATTTTTCTCTAATTGAATTAAAAGTTAGCGCCAAGGTTTGGATTTATTATTCAAAATTAATCTAACTTTGTAGGAAAGTTTGTGCCTCAAAATAAATGTTAAGAAGAGTAGATTGCGGGACAAAGTTAAGCAGTTGCATAAACTGTACGACTTTAAGTTGCCTTTGCTCAAAAGTCTTAGAACTGGGGTAGGTGATTGCGAACTGTAAACTACAATTATTACAATAACTCATCAAACTCTTGACAGAGTCGCTGTCAGAGTTTCTGAGTACTTCAATCTATCTTGAACTTTGCTAAGTAATTACAGTTAAGAAGTTGAGACGTTAAACAAATTTATACTGCGAATTAGAGAGTGGAAAACTTCGCGTGGCTTGTATTACTGGCTGGTCCGAGACGTCGAAGTTTTGAATAACCCCCTTTTCCCCCTTTCCCGGCTCCCCAAGTAACTTTCTTAAACTTTTCTCTTTGTTTCTCGCAAGTTTGTTGTATAACTTCGTCTGTAAACGCCGACATGTTTAGCGGCTACTCGATTTGTTTATTGCTACTTTTTACGAGCGACGTGTTAGCGACGTAACAGATATATGAATGATGACTAGAACTTGATAAAAAATGAAAAAATACGAAAATTGAGTACTTACGTGAGCATTCATATTTGTAGTTAATAGCATAGGTAAATATTATACCCATTTTAATAAGTGAAGCGTTCTTTGTAGGTACTCCTTTTTAAGCTAATTTCGCTGTTTTCTGAATTGAAAATGATACTTCAAGTTATCAATCATATCAGTTATATGTCAACAATATAAAACTTTTTAAAAAATGGTACAAATTCGACCGATTTATACTTTATCTTAATGATAATGTAAAAAAGAATTATTATGGAAAATATTACCGTTACTAATTGTAAAAATAAGCATTATCAATTAGCGGTATTGGCGAAGCTAATTGATTGATTGATACAAATAACGGAGTAGCGGCCTTTGAATAAACAACCAAATTATTCAATAGAGTATGTTTTTGGAGTAGCAGTTTTCTTCAGTCTTCATATATACACCTAGTATGATTGTGATTTCTCCACTTTGGGATGGGAACTAGCTCTACAATTTCAGAATAACCATTGCCATGTCAAAAGTTTGGGGATCCTGGGTGTCGAGACCGGGTGGTGATCAATAGTGCGAAGCAGAAAATTTGTGACATAAAAGAGTTTTTAATGGTAAACTCATTCACTTCGTGAATAACAGCAGTTGACATCGTTTTCTGTGAGGTCAGATATCATGGCTTTCCCACGGTTAAAAAAAACCCTTTTATCAGTCATAAGGGCTAGGTTCAATACTCGTAGTATTTGCCTGCTAAAACTGGTTATTGTTGAAATTGCTTTAAAAACACAATTGTTGACTACCGCTACATAAAATAGAATAAAAGAATTTAATTCTCCAAACGATCAGATTTTAGAATAATGTCCTTTTAATATACTAGTAGAAAACAGGATGGTTTCATTGCTGACTTTATGCTGTTAATTTGTTTTTCAAGTTTAGGTAACGTTCCATACTGACTTACGATGTTTGAGAACGTAAACTCATAAATTCGATTAACCTTACAATGGTTGGTAATCATACAACACATACATATTGATACATAACACAAATAAGATTGCCAGTAGATTCTAGATGTATTTGAATTGCCACGAAATTCTCAATATCTATGTTAACTAGTTTGTTCAAGGTTATATTCGCTAACACCTGTACTCATCCGATGAAAGCGACGTAAAACAGAAAAGTATTTGTTTAAGCCACGTAACCGTACTACGGCGTGAGAATCAAATGAGAATTCAGGGTATCCTGTTTCTTTATGAACATAGAACACCTGGGAAACTGCTTGATTTAACTGTTTTATAAATGAGTTGTTTCAAATAAATCATAAAAATATTGATAGCTTTTAATACAAAGTTCAATTTGTTCCGTTATGATTCCATATTTCAGTATATCCATATATGTATAGGTAACCAATTAAATAACTAAAGACATGTCTAGCTTCGCTTCAGAGGTAATGAAAATGGTCGGTATAAGCTTTGAAGTCTGCGCTAAGATAATAATGGCATTGAAGCGTCGTTCAAAGTCTGTTTAGGGATTTTAATGACATAACTATTTTATAACGTCAAGTGATATTTGAAGAGGGATGCTTAAACACTTATTTTAAAAGCTGACCTCAATATACCGACTAACTAAACGAGGGTTCATGAAGAAGACACATCACATCTATCGCAGCGTCGCAAAATCTTAATTACACGTCTCAAGATTCAAGAAGCATAAACAAAATATAATGAAAAGTTAGATCTCAGTGGCTATAAAGTCTCTAACAGTATTGTGTATTACATTACTATGTATTTACATGTCTGAGAACCGAAGAGAAAGAATAAGTCCGCTATGTACGAGTAATTTTTTAGCAGACATTGGTGCTAGGACATTCTGTCGTTAGAAAACTCTCTAAACTAAACTAAAAATCACTGAAAATTTGTTTGGTCGTGTTAAATAATGTTTCCTGTTCTGAAAACGTAGAATTTAACAGGACAATTTTTTTTCAGGGATTTTTAGTTTAGTTTAGGGAGTTTTCGATCAACAGAATTAGCACCATTGTGTATCAAAATATTTATTTGCCAAGCAAGTTTTCTCGTAAAGAACAGGAACAAAAATTGGTAACCATATATGATTACAATTATTGCAGCGGAAATAGAGAGTTAGTTAAATAGTGTAAAATTAAGAACAAACAAATTGATCACTTCTAAATAGAAGGTAAAAACACTGTCAAAAGAAGGATTCAATAAGAATAGAATAATCTTTTTTGACTAAACAGTGTTCATGTAGGTATTTCATTATTTTTTTGAAAACATGCGTAGGTACATAGTTCTTAACATTCTAATATAAATTTTGTAAAATGCATGTACACTGAAATTATAATTTAAATTATTATATTATAAAAAGACCTTGGCAAAGAAAAAGTATTTTATCCATGGAACACTTTGATGAAACAAACTAGTTTATTTGATCGAAGATAGAACAAAAACAAGTTATCGACATTTAATTTGTTTTGTCCGCAGGGAAGGTGTTGTTAACAAAAACAACCGTGTTTTAAGATCCATTTGTTTATTTTAATATCCATTTACCTAACCTTCTATGTACGCCAAATAGTGAAACAGGATATACAAAGCCGATTACACCAAAATATATGTTTAATACCGGTTTGCTTTCCTATGTTAATATCGATTTCCACGTATTTATTGAAAGAGAATCTAATTTTATCTCGAATCCACTCGGTCACCGCCCACATTATTTTTTCACGAGCTCACATAACTAGATGGCGCTAATAGCTACATAATAACTAACTCCCACGGTTATACCGGAGGCGGAGATGCAAAGACATAACGGTGTCAGTTCATCATAGGTGAATTACATTACCGTATCTGATTCTAGTTACTATGTATCCTGCAATTAATGATCTTATTGTTGGCATAAAAAAATTATAGTATAAAATTCACATTTTGTTCGCAGGAGTTGACTGTAACCGATGACACAGTTTTAGAGGAGCACAGTGAAGATCCTTCACTGGTTCAGATGAGACTACTCGGCGATGGAGGTAAATAACCTTACAACATTAAATTATACTATAAGCCTTTATTATTTCCAAATACCGATGTCGGTTATTATTAGCTTTGCTATTATTACAACGTCTACAAATTCCTTTGAAAAACATTCAGCACCAAACAAAGCACGTTTAGCCAGCAAGGTCAATAAAATAATTAATTATATAAGGTTTTTATTTATGTTATTAAAATTGGTTCTATAGTCTTTATAAAGATTAATATCAGGCATAAATGTGGGAGGATATGGTAGGGAACGCGGTTACAGGGGTGACGTAGCCCGGATAAACACCAGGTGTTTTCTGTTCCCCTATGCTTAGTATGTATGTTGACCGGTGTCTATAAACTCACGCATATGTAAATCATTCTAACAGGTCAAGGTCCATTCATTTGAAACGTTATTAATTTTAAATTCTATTATTTTTTGCAACGGCGCCTGTTTATGTGCTCGATGCTACTTCAATCCTGATTAATACACTACAAAACATGGCTCTTCAGAATTTATTCAGAAAGAAAAGAACTCTACTTTATCACGTTATCACGAACAAAGATTGAAAGGTTGTCGTGATTGATTACGATAGATAGTGTGGGTACATGAAACAATAGCTTCGGTTACATAATCTGTTCGCTGCACTGAACTTCGGTCATCTGTATAACAATGGAACTGTTACAGTATGCATTCATATTTATTTCTCACGCTTTTTAGATACATGCAAGTCATTAAGGACAATGCAATTAACCGATAAATCGGCTGATAGACCGATTGAAGAGCTATTAGATAGATCTACCGATTAATAGAGCGAGAGCGAATGATTTATGACACGATCAGTAGTCCGACCTTTATTTACATATTTATTACTGTTGTATGTATTTACTGACTGATCGCTACCATTGTAACTCTTTAATTGAAATCCATGGCATTGTAATTATACTTATACTCAACTCCGGGATTTTAATTATTCCCTAATTTAATAGTAGGAGAGTTTCAGTGACGTCATTTGCACTTTGTCACATTTATATATTCTCGTCCCCGTAGAGCTATTTCGACTCTGCCCACTCGTAGAAAAAAAGGATTACATTAATTACATTGTTATGGTTATCGAGGTCTTTGGCTTATGGTGGTATTTGTCCTGGCGGTCAGTTCATATTCAAGTAGTAGTCTGTTGTGCCTCTACACATTAGGTCCTATGGATGTAAAGAATATGTCCCACTAGCCGTTTCCCCTTTTACCGCAATATACAACAAATTTTTCAAATTTTAATTTTTAGTTCTCGATTTACTAAAAATGAAAATCGTAGATTTAATAAAGATTAGACCATTATAACCGAGTACCAAAAACAGACAGAGAGACACCTAAGTATATAATCGTAGTAAAAAAGTAGTAAAACATGGAATGGATGTTTCTAAATTGGATAATTGGATTGAAACCTTAGTAATTGACTTTGCATTATGGTAGGAAAAATACTTAGGTACATTACATCAACGTCGTGTTGTAAACTCAATGGTAATGGTGACATCGGATACATTACTTGTTGTTTTTATTATACGTAGTCATAAAGGACTATGTTAATTAACTTACATGTTCATTTGCACCAGAAGTCTGTAGAATAAAATATGTAAAATTATGCAATTTTTACAAGACAAATTTTAACTCTCCTCGTGCGATGACTATAATATAATAAATACTTAAGTGAATATAAAAATACGCAATAATAAGATACAATTATAATTAAATGTATTTGCCTAATGTTTGCCTTATTAAATCTCTTTTGTTTTTTCAGTGATCGAATCAATTATGAAGGGAGAAGTGGTAGGCGTAATGCCGCGAAGATCGCGCTCCAGTCTCCAAGTAAGTTGTGCCATCAGGAAGATAGATCATTCAATTTGGCAAAAATCTTTAGTTGCGTAAGAGATCCAAGTTTATCCATCAAGCATTTTCCTTTTGCATTAGTAAACTATCCAGAACTAAGTTAAAACCCTAAAAAGGCATTGAAAAGACCAATTTGTATTATACATTATTGTAGTAAACTTTTAAGTAAAATCCTATATCGATTGCGATAATTGCTACTTTTTAAGCACACAAAACCAACTGGCAACTGATGTGCAATACATGGTTACATATAGAAGTAATTCTATTTTAAGTAAAGCCAAGCCTTTATTTAAAGATGAACACTTTAATAGATACAACACGAGGGAAATAAATTGTAAAAGGAAATAAACTATGATCTAGTAAAACTTTACAATAGTGTGTCTGGCTGGAAAACAACATGTGTGTTGCAATGTAGACAGTACAAAGGAGCAGTTGCACGTGCTTCAGGTAGAATAGCAAAGACAGAACACCAAAGTCATTTTGGCAAAGGTACTATGTGAAAGTAGATTTCTCTTGCTCTACCACTGGTCGGTATAGCAGATGCTTTGTTACCAGAAGGTAAAGTGCATACTATATTTTAGGATTCAAGTGCAAAGGTTTTAATTGGTTCTATGGTAAGCGACATTATAGTATGTTTCTCTAACGGTTTTCTTAAAAGTCCTAAAATTCATAAAATTGTTATCCGTGGCACTTTGTCATTCCCGTGAATTTTGCTTTGCAATTGCAAAAGTAATAAATACGAGAAAGACAATGAATATGGAGACAATTAATAGGTAAGGCATCGATAGAACTGTAAGACGACTTTACCGTCATACACGGGGACGAAATGCAAATAACCCGTTATGAAAACTTATATCTTTTGCGAAATTTTTGGAATGAAAAACTTGCTAGCTTATTTGTGCACGGATAGCGCTTTCGCGTAATTCATTCTTCTTTTCTTTATTTCCAAATACTTTTGACCTTTTGTAAGTTAGTTATGGTAAAGCTAGAATCCTCAATTTCCAGTGACTAAGACCACAAAATGGAATTAAGTAGATACTACTACCAAACTACTAAGGAGAGGCCTATGTCCAGCAGTAGACTATTAAAGGCTGGTGATAATGATGATGACCCCAAACTACTTTCAGTTTGACCTATAAAGAAGTCAAAGAACTATGGCGGGTTCAGTATCAAAGTTTGAAACTGACTTACATAAGTGCATTGATGTCGGTTGTACGTATTCCAAAAGATCATTTATTGCAAAATCCACCGCTATGCCCCTTATGACCTTTTTTGAGTGAGGATAGATATTTTCATCAGAAATGGCAGCTTACATATTTAAAGTATACATATAATGATCAAATGCAAATCTTGGCGTGGTCACTACCGTGCTCCAGCCAAGACGAGCCAAGCGAAACGCAAGGGCACTACCTACATTTTCTCAAAGCGCTTCGTCGTTTCTTTGAACTCTTATAATTTGGGTTTGGATTATACCAGATAAACTAAATTCTCGGCATATGATGTCAATAGTGGACCTATTAAACATATATAGTTTCAATTTCATAGCTCTTATACTTTAGATTTTATTGATATCTAAAAAAACGATTTCGTCACTAACTCAGTGATGATAATTAAAATTCTTAGGGTACTTCCTGAAGATCATAAGGGGGTACCGCACGATCTCCTTTGAGGCGGCGAGTCTCCTGGCCGGAACTCCACCGTGGGACCTGGAGGCGAGAGCCCTTGCGGCTCTGTATCAGTGGCGCAAGGAAGCGCGGGAGTTGGGTCGATGCCCCGAGATTGGAGAAATCGATGACCGGAAATCCCAACTCCGCCAGGTCATCATAGGGGAGTGGAGGGAACGACTTGGGCAACCGAGCGCCGGGCACGCCGTCATCGCGGCGGTAAGACCCGTTATGGAGGATTGGCTCGAGAGGCGTCACGGGACCCTCTCATACCGATTGACGCAGGTGATCACTGGGAAGGGATGTTTCGGGGATCACCTGTGTCTGATCCGCAAGGAGCCAACGCCTGAGTGCCACCACTGCGATGGCCAGACCGTGGACACGGCTCTCCACACGCTGGCAGAGTGCCCGGCGTGCAGAGCGCGAGCAGAGGCGAGACCTCGTGGCGGCCATCGGAGTGGGAGTTCTCTCGCTCGATAGCCTGATTGCGGCTATCGTGCGGAGCGAGAGTGCGTGGAACTCTGCCGTCTCCTTCTGCGAGCAAGTTATGCTCGCGGAGGAGACGGCGGAGCGGGACCGGGAGAGGTTTAGGACTCTCCCGGCCCGCCAGGCCCGGGAACGGGCCAGGTACCGCAGGCGACTCAGGCGCCGGAGGTCGCAGAACGACCTCCGTCCTCCATAAGCGCAGGCCTGGGGGTGACAGGTGAGGCCATCTGTCACCCTAGCAGAAGCAGGCCGGGGTGGCGGCGAGCACGTTGCGAAGCGCGCTCGCTCCCAGGGAGCACAGGGAACATGGGGTTCCCACACGGGGGGGGGGGTCGTCTACTCGTCTGTAGATGACCCGAGGTATGTCGGGGCACCAGGGACTTCCTTTCTAGGGTATACCTGGTTCCCCGGCTATTAGTACCCGAGACGGCGTGCGGTTTTAGTCGGTTCGAGTCCGACATGCCACCGGTATCCGAGGGGATTTCCGCACGGACAAAAAAATAAAATAAACAAGGTACTTCCTGAAGTCCTAGAAATTTTGTATGTAAGCTAGTATTAGTAAACAAACAACAACAAACATTCTAAAACTAGGTACTTTTACCCCCCTTAAACTAGGAAATGGCAGTTTGTATGAGACTTCCGCAAATTTTGATACTAGAGGTGTAAAAATTGATAAATAGGCAAAGATCTCTAATGTGCAAGAAATACACCCAAAAAAAAAAGAAAAACGAACAGAATAAAAAAATATCGCCATGAGCAACTTACAAAAAGAAGTGTCTATCCGTCAGTTATTTTGGCGTTCACGTGTCGCGACAGGTTGCCAGTCGGCGCCTACCGCCTAGTGAGTGACGCATACGGCGCCATTATCCCGACCCAAACTAAATATGGTTCATCTAAATATGGTATAAATGACTAACTGGTAGCCGTAGAGACGAACCGATTGAGTTATGCTTGAATTAACGACAAATTAATTATATTTTTGGCTCACATAACCGGAACAAAGTTGAAGAATTAGGATATTGAGCTACACATTTATTAAAAAAAGGGAACAAACATTTTAGTAAGTAAGTAGTTAGTATAAGTCTTGGTTTTGTAAAAAATGTTGTATTAAATATACAATATTAAGTTTATACGTCTAAAGCAATGTATTTTGAAACATTAAAGTATCTTTAATCTATGTAGTTAGCATTTCAAGGTTTCTTATTTTGAATCCTAATGTCAGATTAAGCAAATTCGTTAGATTAATAAGCAAAGCAATTACAGAATCGTAATAGTTTAGGTTTTTTAATAAACATAAAATTTTAATAACACCGGATAGTAAACAGACAACATAGCCAAATAAAAACCGTGATCCATGTCGGCAGCATTGTTTTAATTGTAATTGGAGGAATAGATATTGGACAAGTCAAATGTGAAAATATAGGAAACAAGAATATATAAAGCTTCTATTTCTTGTGAAGTTTAAAATTTTAAATATGAACGTTGAGAACTGAGGCTACTGGTTTTTACAAGTGTAGAATAATTAACTCTCGGACCACAAATATGTCTAGCCTGATTCTGGTACCGAGACGATGTATTAACTAATGAACTACGTAGATACGTACAAAACGGATTCGCTCGTGTAACGCAGGCGTAAATTACAGCGGCCATTTAGAAACACCCGGCGCGAGGACAGTTTTTCTATTTATGGCTTTCAGAGTTTATTAACATGGAATGTTGTTTATCTCTTTTAAAATTAACTGACTAACATATATGTCTAATTATAAAAGCACGACCAGTCAAGGTGCCGGCTAAATTAACTATCAAATTAAATTATAATCTGCTGTTCAAATATAAATTTTATAAACTTTATTTTAGAAATGTAACCTTGTTTTACTGAACATGGTCAGATAACATATTCTTACTTCTTAAAATGAAATGTATTTATTGCCTGCTTTTATCCCTTTAGAGTAGGAGTTTTATAAGTTTCATTTTGACTTCAATTGATATGAGATGTTCGCTTTAGTTCATAGAAAAGAGGTCAGATGATTAAATCAGAATTCCTAGAATAGGAACTGATATTTGTAAAAGCACGAGTTCATAATAAGGCAGAAATATACTAGTTTATTTGTAAACAAGGGTTCTACATGTACACAGTAATGGTGGCAACGAAAATGAATATTAAGTAATGTTTTACTTATTCCTCTTTAAACATATCATCATCATAATATCAATACTCTGTGTGAATACATATTATTGCTTTACCTTTAACTTCAACTACCTTTAACTTAAAATTTATTACAATTTAACTTTATAAAGTTAAATTGTAATAAATTTTACAATTTTTATTATATATATATATATAATTACAATTAATTCAGAAAAAAGTCATGTCGTATACGACATGACTTTTTTCTGAATTAATTGATTACATTGACCTCATATCGGCATGTTTATTTGTTTTGGAGGCCGATATAACAAGTTTATATTGTTTATATTATGTAAACATGACGATCTGTTCAATACAGAACCTTCATACGAGTAGCCTATTACAGAAACGGTGAAATTTTTGTCTCTTGGTCTTGGATTTCTTCTTTTATTCTTCATCTTCTATCTCTAGTATAAGTAGAGCTCCATGCTTCGGCACATATGGGCCGTTTTGACCTGAGTAATACCGCAGCCCAACAGTAACAGTACGTGGTTTACTGGGGCCATGAACTTTCTATGAACGACGGTAGTCACTTTCCATCAAGTGAGCCGTAAGCTCGTTTGCCCCCTTTTTTTTTCTGTGCGGAATTCCCTTCGGATACCACCCACCGGTGGATGATTATGTCGGACTATGCCCCCTATACCATAAAAAAAATTATGACAAAGTTCCTACGAGGTCATAATTTTTAATGGTATAC